AAATTATTCAAGTATACGCTCCAACCGCAGCACATCCCGATGAAGAGATAGACGAATTTTATGACAAAATTGCAGAAACTAGCACGAATTATCACAGCACGTATACGATGATAATAGGAGACTTCAACGCTAATATCGGACAGCGACTTGAAAAAACCGAAAACTATATAGGACAATTCGGCTCTGGAGTTAGAAATTAGAGAGGAGAAACCTTGGTTAACTTCCTACAAGCCCACTAATACTATGCAATGAACACATTCTATAAGAAAAAACCTCAAAGAAAGTGGACGTGGCTATCCCCAGACGGAAAAACTCGGAACGAAATAGATTACATACTGTGTAACAAAGTAGATATCATACAGGACGCAACACTAATAAATGCGGCGTCAGTAAGTAGCGATCACCGAATGGTTAGAGCCAAATTAGAGATAAAACATAATAAAAATAGAAATAAATTTAGAAAAACTTGGAATATAGACACAAATAAACTAAAATCTAATACAGAACAATATAAAAGCAAGTTAAACCCCGAGAAAGTCTTAAATCTAGGTAAACTTAGCTTAAATGAAATCAATGAAGTCATAACAAAAGAGCTATTAAATGCAAGCTCAGCAGTTGCAACCTCTAACAGAAAACGAAAATCCAAAATAAGTGTAGAATCACAAAACATGCTGAAACAAAGAAAAGATCTTCTGAGACAAGACAAAAGAGATATTGCAGAATTTAAGGAACTTAATCGAGTAATAAGAAAACGGATAAAAGAGGACATTAAAAAACATTAAGAAGACCGCATAGAACAAATTATAGAAAAAATCCGAAGTCTCAAATGCACCGATGCCCGAAATAAGCCACGAAGAAATAGAAAGAGTAGTAAAAGAAATAAAAAGGAATAAAGCTCCTGGAAGCGATGGAATTCTAGCAGAAATGCTGAAGGAAGGCGGAGAAGAAACCATCACATATCTAAAAATATTATTTAATAAATGTCTATTCCAAGGCAACATACTCGAACAATGGAATACTGCTAAAACAATACTAATACACAAAAAGGGAGACACCACAGACCTGAAAAATTATCGACCAATTTCACTTCTTTCACAACTTTACAAAACATTTACAAATATTATTACAAACAGGTTAACAATTAAATTTGACGGATATCAACCAGTAGAACAAGCCGGATTTAGAAAAGGGTACAGCACCTGTGACCATCTGTACACTTTAAAAACCCTAATAGAAAAGACTAACGAATACAATCTCCCATTATGTCTGGCTTTTATAGATTATGAAAAAGCTTTTGATAGCGTAGAACTGTGGGCAATAGAAGAAGCATTAGTCAACAACCGGATCGACTCCAGGTACAGAATACCAATACATAATATTTACGAACAAGCTGAAATGGTAGTGACATTGGGTAATGGAATCGAAACAAGACCAGTAAAAATCAACCGAGGAGTAAGACAAGGAGACACAATATCTCCAAAATTATTTACAGCTGCCCTAAAAGATATCTTTAAGTCAATAGACTGGGAAAATAAGGGAATCCCTATTAACGGAAGATACTTGAACCATCTTAGATATGCAGATGATGTAGTACTAATAGCCGACACGTGGAATGCACTGAATACGTTGATTGAGGAGCTATACACAGAATCCCTAAAAAAGGGCTGAAAATGAAGTTCAGCAAAACTAAACTAATGTCAAACAAAGATGACAAACCTATGATAAACATCGAAGGGACAGAGATAGAACAAGTACATGAATATACATATCTGGGTTAAAATGTCAAGGTAAGCAAAGAAAATCAGACTACCGAAATAAGAAGACGTGTAGAAATGGGATGGGCAGCATTCGGAAGACTCTCATACGTACTTAAAAATAAAAATATACCTCAACCAAGACTGCGAACCAAAGTGTTTAATTCCTGTATCCTACCTGTGCTTACATATGGAGCTCAAACCTGGACATTCACTAAAATAAACATGGAGAAGATCAGAAAAACTCAGAGAGCTATGGAACGACAGATGCTGGGTATCTCACTCAAAGACCATAAAACCACTGAAGACATTCGTAATAGAACAAAAGTAAAAGATGCTGTCGTTCAGGCAGCTAAACTGAAATGAAAATGGGCTGGACATAACGAACGTCTTACGAGTGGCCGATGGAATAAAGAAATCGGGAATTGGCGGCCATATGAAGCCAAAAGACCACGAGGAGGACCGCAAATGCGATGGAGCGACGATATTAAAATAACTGCAGGACCAATATGGAAACGTCTTACAAACAACAGAGATGAATGGCGAGAATTAGGAGAGGCTTATATTCGGCAATCCGAATAGAGAAAAGGGCTTAAAAAATTAATACTATAGATCAAGTATATCAGCAGATATTCAACAGAGAATAAAAGTCAACACATATATTTGTAAACATGAATAAAATAGGACAATCAAGATACCTCAGATATTAAATTCCATGCGTACAATTCAGAGGTAAACAAGTCCTTGTTTACAGTAATTACTATTTAAATGGAAATAAGCCACAATTAAAGGTTAAAGTAAGTTTATTGACGTTTCAATTTCCACTTCGGAAATCGGTCTCAAAATACAAACATTAGTAAATTTTGTATTTGTATTTTGAGAACGATTTCCGAAGTGGAAATTGAAACGTCGATAAACTTACTTTAACCTTTAATTGTGGCTTATTTCCATTTAAATAGTAATTACTTTAAAATGCCAGAAGAGAATAGCCTCAGAACAATATCCTTGTTAATAGATTTGAAGATATGCTTGATAACACAGGTGAAGAAAACTTAGAACAATACTTTTGTAAATAAATATTACCAAATTAAAGATACTTAGTCGCACAATATGACACCTCATTGGTTGACAAACTATAAACGTTAAATGAAACATTTCAGAGGAGATACATAGTGAGCTCGCACACTAAGAATTTTCAAAGACTCTCCCAGTCACGTTGTTTTAAAGTGTAAGAACCCAATAAGATCAAAATCCAAAGAAAAATAAAAAATATACAGCAGCTTAGAAATAGGAAGATGAAGAAATGCTGAAAACATTATATAGCAAATTTATACTCGAATATGTTTTACAGCTGTTATTTTCTCATCAAGTTGCTATTGATTATTACTATTCTTAAAGAATTTGTTTATGTAATGAAATATATATATATATATATATATATATATATATATATATATATATATATATATGTTATGATAACATGTATATTGTTAATGTTAGTACTTCTTCAGATTAAGTTTCAAGTAATAATGAAATAATGTAATATTATTTTGCAAGATTATGTTAAGCTGAATTTAGAGCGCATTTAAAGTTCCTTCACTTTCTATATATTTTTGGAACCATAAAACTTAATAAATTTATAGACATCTACACCAAAGTTAATATTTTGTATGATTTAATCGTTACCGAAAACGCCATTTTGAAAAATTGTTTTAAATGGGATCGTATGACTAGTATAATAATAACTCATTCGAAAGCTCGCGATAAATTCTTTTCAACAACACATATAATTCCAGTCCAAAAATCTCATATTATTATTTTTAATTATTATTAAGTAAACAATAATCACATCTTATTTTCTGAAACAATTGAAAGCTTGTTTTCAACGACACCTATAAGATTACAAATTTTTACGCCCCTGAATCCAAAAAACGAGTTTATTTTGTAATCAATTTTTTTAGTGTAGGTCCAAACGTCATAAACATTTAAAACAAAAAGTAAAAATCCGAAGATTTCTACTAGTTCGAAACCAAAATTATTACTTAAATCTGTGCCTTCTACGGTTTACAAAGCAAGTAGAGGATGAATGGACCGACATTGGGGCATCTAAAATTGCATTCCACATCATATCGATTCGTCTAAGCATGAACCTTTCATGAACTGCCTTCTAAAACTCAAAATACGAGTAAATAAGAAAAAAATTAAATTTCACATTTAGGGCTTCTTACTGACTCGCTCTGAAGAGTCCAAACAATATAAAATAGTAACTTATTTGAGTTGTAACGTGCGTGTTCAAAAATTAAATGTGACAATAGTTTATAACCACACTAAATATTTTTAAGTTTTTGGACTGAACCTAATAATTTTTGTAGGTGTTGCTGAAAAGTACTTTAAACGAAGTATTACTTGTCCTAGTTTGCGGAGCAATACGAAATACTTTTGCAAATAAGTGACTTATTCATTTGAGACATATTGTGTACACGATTTAAGTGTCATATGTGATTATGTTAGACAATAGCGTTATAACTAAAAACAACATAAATCGTAATTTTCAACATATTCACGAATTCACGAGTGTTATTATGAGTGACAGCGTATTAGTGTTTCATGGCCCGATCATGACTAAAGGACGTAAATTACATTAACATAAAATTAAATAAAAACAACGTTTAGATGTTTGCTACAAGATCCTTTCAATATTTGGAGCACTCCAGCAATTATAAAGAAGAGATAATGAACTAGAAACATTTCAATTAAAGAATAAATATATTCAAAAATAAGTAGTCTCTCTACCTCGATTTAAAACATAGTAAAGTCAACCCAAAAATAAGTATGCACTGTACGCAGACAATAAACAAATATTTCTGGAGTATAACATTACTACATAAAAAACCGAATCCATAGAATAATCGAAATCCATCGATTCTAGTCCGAGTTAATGTCGTTTGAGGAAAAATATTCCTACATTTGTATGAAAATAAACTTTATAATGAATATTATCGCCAGAATAAGGGCGATAGAAAATTTGTTGTTTTGAAATAAGCAAAACAAATTATTACTAAGTAAGACGATTTCTAAATGAATACTTATCACTGGTTTATTAACAAGAATTACAAACTTGATCTCTTAACTAACGAACTCATTTTTCGTTAACACATTTAAATAACTAATAGCTTACTAGTAATCTACTAAGTCAAACACGATTGTGGACACTCTGTAAAAGTGAAAATAAAAAAAAACTAATACAATAGAAATTCTGCTTCATGCTCTGGCAGGGGAGCTGACGGGGGCGCATGCAATGGTCGGTTATGCAGCAAAGCGGATGTATAACTAGGCGGGGGAGTATCAGGGGGATAGGACGACCCTTGGCTGCGTTGTAATGTGCGTGCTGCAATCGCCTGGCTCGCCTGAGGGGGTGGAAGATACGAATCGTTTTCTGTCACTTGTTGGTAGTCTTTCCTAAAATAAAAAAAAATAAGCATTAGATTCGCACAAAACATTTATCATAAAATATACTGCTCTAAGAAAGAACCATATGAATACATTCTCTCATTTCTAGAAAGTGTCTCATTTAGTCTAGGAAAAAAATATTACAGGTATCTAATGAATCATTTGAATTTTTACAAGTTCCAATGCACCAATAATTTACTGAGATAGTTACAAGAAACTATTTTTTTTGCACTGCTTAAAAAGTTTAATACTTTAATACCCAACTTAACGTAATATTGGCCGTAAGTAACATAATGTAACACCTTGATAATAAGGCTATTATGTAAGTATGAAAAAATTCAAACAGATCGGTTTTCTGGTTAAAGTGTTATTGTTCAACGTTTATAACAGGTATTAAAACTTTAAACACTTATTAATACCTACCTACAGTATGCTTATAGTTATTTAACAAAGAAAAATGGATTGTTGAATATTAAAATGTCTTTAAATAAGCCGTTGTCCCTTATAAACGGGCTAGGCCTTATGAATGGGAAATATAGAATGTGAAACGACCACGCTAGAACAGTTCCTGCCACCACTTAGCTCTCTGGAGTATCTGGGAATCCCTCCTAGATAGTCGAGAGACTAGGAGTGGACGAACTGCTTCAGCGATCAAAAAGCAGCCTACCCAGCTAAGGTGTGAGGTAATCGTGCCGATGGCTGTATGGCTATAGGGTTGTATGTGGTGATGAACGATCCCCCTGGGGAACCAGGCAAACCCCATTGTATAAAGCCTTCCCCTGATAATGCGGGGCTCTGGCAGGGTTGACCAACCTTTGCCTAGCTACTCGTGGGAACAACACGATATACAACAAAAAAAAAAAACAAAAACACGAAATTCCGAGGCTGGACCAAAACGTTAACCTGAGCCTGAAGTCGGAGTTTGGGTTTCAGCCCAAGCAGCTGATGGAGAAGGATCACTTCAGGAAAACCGGCCAAAGCGCCGCAGAATTTGTGGCACCGAGGCAAAAAGAAGGAGGGAAGGCCATAGAGGTGATGGGAAAAGACATCTTAAGATCGCTATTATATATAAGGTAAACGCGTACGGAAAGGTCACTGTCGACCGGGCAAACCTTATTAAACACAGCCTCATCGAGGAACGATAAGGCACTTGCATGGCTAGAAAAGGTTACAGTTGATCTCAAACCGTAGGAGGAGGCATCACTGGGTATTGTCCAATCTATTGGATAAGCTCCCAAAGCTTACTAAAACCTCTCCATGGATCTCGGACGATGCTACCAGCACCTCTGATGACCCAGAAAGAGTGCCGCGGACGTTAATATGCATATACTTCAGGAAGATCTACTGATTCTGCACTGCATCAAGTAGTGGGAAGAACTATTAATTATCAAGGTATTATAAACGTTACTTACGGACAATATTGCAAAAATTATTGTTTATTAAAGAGTAAAAAATAGTTTTTGCAATTATTTCGTCAACTTTTCGTCAACGGATTTGAACTTCAAAATTCAAATTAACCGTCGTTTCAAACACAATAGTTCCACAGTAAAAAACTGCTCTAATGTAATAAAAAAAAGTGGAACAGGAGGCGGTACTAATTTCTGTATTTTTAAAATTTAAATAATATATTTAAAATTAATTTATTATTTATTTATTTTTTATATTTTAAACAAATTCAATAACATATTTTGCTCGTAACGCGACCTGTTAACGTATTGACAAAGCATATGTTCTTTACTTATGACAAACCTGACAAATTCAGACCAAATATTAATATAAAATAATAATATATTTAAAAATAATAATTGTATTTATATGGAATCATTTTTTAAAACGAGAATTATTATAAAACTTTAAACGTTGATATATTTATATGTTGATATTAATCGTATGACATTTACGAGTTTTACTAAATATTGACAATCGTTACGAATCGAATCTTTTAGTGACAGATATTCTTTTAATTTTTTACTTCTCATTTAATGTCTATATTTTGTTAGTTATTTTCACGCAGTTTTTAATTTAAATCTGCTTATAGTAAATATATGATGACTACAAACGAATTGATCGAGATTAGTGAATCGATGTCAAGAAGAGCTACTCTATGACGACGCTACCCATGACGACGCCATCCTGTGGCGCTATACTTTGTCTCAAAGTGACTAGTCTGTACTGGGAAGATATGCAATGCTAACCTTATGGGAATTTCGCCACGACGTTGCCAGTTTTATCAGTGAGCAATGGCGTTCTCTATTGTCTATCTTTCAAAATGAACGGAATAAACCAGGAGTTCTCAACAAGTCTTCACGTACAATTTTATGTAATTTACAAATATCGTTTGCTAATAATTTTACATAATACTATACATTATTATTGTTTCTAATAGTAACTTATTAACTTTTATCTTTTATTAGTAGCAGTAGTATAATAAAATGTGCATTAAATAAACATTTGTTTCAAAGTTTTTCAAATACTTTCTTTTAAGTTATTCAGTAATTAAGAAGCAATTAGAGTAATTCTTGTACATAATATGTTTTAAAGCTTGATACATCCAGGGCCTTAATTAGTCTTTATTTGTTCTTCTGAGCGCGTAAACATATTCGAGTTACGATTATTTGTACCATTTTGGATGTATTGTTACTGTTTTGTTATTGTTATTATTTGTTGGTGGCTGTTGTTATGATTTGCTGTTGGCAATTATTGTTATTATCTGTTGTTGGCTATTGTTATATTTGACGCCGAATTTTTACCGCAAAATGGAGGAAATTGTTCAATGGAAACGTGGAAAAGCTCTGAAACTTTAAGAGAAGCAGATACTAATGAATATTATTATCATCTTAATCAGGATAACAACGATTCTGTATCAACTGTAATTAGGAAAGTGTCAGAAATGAGTGGTGTTTGCGAAAAGACTCTGTTTCTCATACGACATGAATATTCATCACCTGCTGGATTACAATCTCCAAAAAGCAGGTTCAAGAATAGAAAGGTTGGTAATTCTCGTGACAACAAGTACGATGAAGGTGTCAAGGGCCAAATTCGTAGAATAGTTCATCAATTTTTTCGTGACAACATACCACCAACAATAAACACCATATTAGCTGTTGTAAATGTCGAAGAAACTTTGCCCAACTTTTCACGGGCCACGCTACATCGCTTGCTGAATGATATCGATTTTATGTTTATAAAACGTGGCAGAAATTAAATTTTGATTGAAAAACCAGAAATCATCTAGTTTCGTCATCATTATTTAGGCGCAATTCGTAAATACCGTGCAGAAGGATACAACATAGTGTATTTAGATGAATCATGGGTAAATATCGGGCACAGTGTGAAAAAGAATGGATTGATAAAACAATTACATCTCATCGCGATGCTTTTGCTCGTGGTCTGACAACAGGATTAAAAGCTCCAACAGCTCGTGGTGCACGGTTAGTTTTATTGCACGCAGGATCAACCAGTTGATTTGTTGATGGAGCAGAGCTCACGTTTTTGGCAAAGAAAAATACTCCGGACTACCACGACGAAATGGATGGACCGACCTTTGAAAATTGGTTCGGAAATAACTTAATGCTAAATTTGTCAGAAAAAACTGTTGTGGTAATGGACAATGTCTCCTATCACATCACAAAAGTCAGAACAAATTACCAACAGTTCAACACTAAAAAAAATATTCAAGAATGCCTTCTGTCAAAGGACCAATTTTTTAAGAAGACTACCTAAAATGCGAGTTACTTGATGTAGTCAAGGCCTTCAAAGCAAAATATGACAGGTAGATAATGGAAGATATTGCCAAAAAGCACAATGTGAAGATTCTGAGGCTCCCACCCTATCACTGTGAATCGAAATGGTTTGGAGTGAAGTGAAACGGTATATAGCTGGACGCAACGCGAATTTTAAAGAAGCTGAAATGCGAAATTTAATTACAGCAGCGTACCAGGTGATTGCGCCAGAGAAATGGAAAAAAAAAGTAAACCACGTAATAGCAACAGAAAAAAAAATGTGGGAAATTGGCAATTTGTTGATGATATCGAACCAATTATTATAAATATAAATAATGGAGATAGTGATAACAGTGACGATAATAATGATGATGATGATAGTTAAGCAGAAACTAAATGTGATAGCGATTGACAGAAAAAGGAACTAAATATAATGGTGTACAATTACGATTACTTACACACGAAATTAAATACAGTGACTTCTTTTAGTTTCAACTTATTCATTAGTTTTATTTTCGGATATTTCTTCGTTTTGTTACTGCCAACATATACAGTGCGGTTTTCCCCCCTTAACTTTTGAACGGAACAATACATAAACAAAATGTTCCTTTATATTTTAGTTTTATTTTACTCGATTTTATTTAACTCTATAAACAAATGGTTTGTATCGCTAGCACATACTGTAGAATTAAAAACACACTGTTTGTGTGACATAAATAAAAGGCATTTCTTAATTTTTATTTTATTTTAATTTAACCCAAGAATGTTAAAGCAAATATTATTTATGTTTGAGAACCACTGACAGAAGGAAGCCAGGCAGGATCGTTAGTGGGCATTAGTACTTAAGCTACCCTCAACACAAAATATGGATTAGGCTAAGTAGTAAAAAGTGACGTTTATTATAAGTCTGCAAAGAAGTATTGTATCGATGTTGTGCATTTACCCTGTACAGACAAGTCACTTTAAGACAATCTATCTATAGTTCCGTCTCGTCTCAGCATTTTACTGTAGAGAAAAAAAGTAATACAACGCCAGTATAGAAACTTCGCTTCACGAAAGCCACATGTAAAAACTATATTTTGGGGCTTTAGCCTTTGTTTATAATAAAATAGAACCGATCAACAGTTTTCCATACGTATTTTTCAAAGCTACGTCCCTCCTATGACTTAAAGCTATTAGATACCTCCGATACCTTTTATAAACTGGGTTAATAATCGAAGAGAGAATAGTTGTCGGCGATCTAAGGATGATACACATTGCTGGTTATTGAAATTTTTTATCCAAAAACGATGTCTACTAAGAATGACTAAGAATGATTGTAGCAGTGTCTTACGGCACTGCAAAAGTGGCAAAACCACTTAACAACATAGTGCAATTACGTATCGGTATGTACCTAATCTTTAGGTGACACGTTCCTATAAAATTACTTCAATGAACAATGAACTTTATAATTTTTCTATTTCGCAGAGTAGAAAATCTTAAAATTTCTTAATACGTCTACGTGATGATATATCACTAAAATATATTTTTAATATTTTGATAACAACGTTCTAAATTCCACAAAGTTTGAGATAGAGCCCGCTATATTTGCCTGTAAATGTCGATATCTATTACTACTATAATAATGATTTTATAGATTACTTACTTCTTTCTTATATAAATCCATGTATGGGAATCAACCCATACCAGCACAGTCAGAAGAAAACCAGCTACGACTGAAGAGACTAACATTAATGTTAAACCAAGTAAGCCAACGTAACAAAGAGCTCTGGCTCCTCTCAAGTAATGCATGTGTAGTGTTCGGCAGTCGACTAGAGCTGTCAAAGAATGTATGTAGTTGTCGGCTGTATTAATATCATTTCGAAGAGAGCTGAAATATTGTATTAATTTAAATTTAGTTAATACGTACGCTTGTTCAATCGAAACCCGTCTTTATTAAGGTTAGCCAGTTAATCAGTTACAAGAATTCTTTAAGCAGGGTATACATCGGTTGGTTAATCAATGGGATATGGGCCTTAATTGTAGATGTATTTGCCAATAAATTTTTCTGAACCAAAGATGGGTTTCAATTGAACAAACCTATGAAATAGTATTAAAAATATTTTAAACAAATAGAATGTCACTACGGGATTGCAAGCTTTCAAAGTGAATTGCATTTAATTATGAGATCTTGCTCATTAGGTAGCTTCTGGACCAATGCATAGATATACAGTTAAGCAAAGTGTTTTATAGACAAAAAAAACCCTTTAGGATTTTACTACTACACTCACCGGCAAAATTAACGGAACAGCTTAAAAATGGGAAATGTTAGATGTCTCGAATTTCCTAAACCTGTTGTCCGATTTTAGTGATTTTTTAGTATTTTATAGTTATATTATTTAAGAATATCGATGTAATAATATTGTTGCTAGACAGGTCAACGTAATTTTATACCGGGTGTAACAATCATACTGTGTTTTTTCCTTAAAGTTCGGAACACCCTGTGGAATATTCTAGTATATATAAAATATTGAAATTAAAACTTTATTATAGCCTCAGGCTTTCTTAACATGTTATTTTTTTATTCATTTGCTTGTGTTGGATAATAAAAAAGTTAGGTACTTTAACAACTAACCATGTTTTTCATCAATAAATGCTCATTTTCTGCTTAGTTTCACCGGCATGTTTAAAGGAATAACCATAAAATCTGAGTATTTTCTCTCTAGTCTATATATTGTTAATATTGTTTAGATATCATAATACGAATGTTGGTGAAGTATTTTGAATTTATATTACAATGGTAGTACAATATGAAACCTGTTTGAGAAGAAATAAAACACAAAGATGTCAGACTCAAACAAAATACGGATTTTAAACACATTAACTTTATTGCACATTTTGAACTTAAATTGGTTTTTTATGCATCTTTTTTACTTTAATAGCGTGTGTCCTCGAGCCCTTACAACTGCAGTTATTCGTCTTCTGATACTTCTGATCCATTCCTCAATCAAAGCAATTCTGACTTCCTCTCTATTTTAAATAGCAGGAACCGTGCCCTAAGTTTTCTGCCTAGCATGTCCCACACATGCTCTATAGGGTTCAGGTATGGGGAACAAGCTGGCCAATTCATCGTTTTTGTACCCACTTGTAATAAGAAATCTCTTACACAGCCTGCGACGTGTGGGCGCGCATTATCCTGCATAAAAATAAAATTTTCGCCAATATATGGTGCAAAAGGTACCACATGGTCCAGGAGAATATCTCTGATATGCCTATCTGCTGTTAATGCTCCATCATCAATCACCACTAACTCTGTTCTTGCTCCCAAACATATACCGCCCCACACCATAACTACACCTCCACCAAAAGGTACGGTCGTAGTAAAATTGAAAGAAGCATTTCGTTCTCCTTGGCGTCGATTCAATTTTTCTCTACCGTCAATGTAATTTACACAGAAACGGCTCTCGTCTGTAAAGAGAATTTGACTCCAGTGGTTATCATTCCAATTTTGATGTACTCGACCAAATGGTCGTGCTAAACGATGGTGTCTCTGGAGTCTCTGGGAGCTTTTATTGGCACATATAACTTGAAACCGGCTTCTTTAAGTCTCCTTCTTACTGTGCGCTCACTTATGGTAGTTCCACGAACATTTTGCAACAGGTTTTTGGTTTGACCTGCCGTTTGACATCTACTACGTAATGTTTGCAACGTTATAAATCGATCATCTACAACCGTGGTTAAACGTTTTCTACCTTGTCCCCTTCTTCTTACATACTCCCCGGTTTGTCTCCAACAACTTACACAACGATGGATGGATGATGGTGATTTACCAAATATTCTAGCAACTTCCCTGTACGTTCGACCATTGTTACGACATTGTTAATAGCAATATCAGACGGTATTATATAAATCGCCCATTTTTACTTTCTCTTTGCAATAATAACACCACTGATTAGAACAAATCAAAAGAAAAATCACATACAACAAACTCAAACAAATTAACTTATCAATTAAATACAAGTTTTTACTTGTTATCAACAGACAGAACGACTGTAAAATGTAAAACACAATACAAATAAACAAATTAATTTGACATTTAAGACTTTCTTGTGACAAGAAGCATTCAAAGCTATGTAGATATAGTCTATAAAATACAAATATAAAGAAATATTGCACTAATAAATTGTTCCTTTAAATTTGCCGGTGTGTGTATTAAATTGTTAACTTCTCATAGCCTACTTTAGGCTTGTTTATTAAACTAAGTAGAAAATAAGGATTTATTGATGAAAAACATGGCTAGTTGTTAACGTACCTAACTTTTTTATTATCAAACACAAGCCAATGAATCAAAAAAGAAAATGTTAAGGAAGCCTGAGGCTATAATTGAGTTTTAATTTCAATATTTTATATATGCTAGAATATTCCACAGTGTGTTCCGAACTTTAAGGAAAAACACAGTATGATTGTTACACCCGGTATAAAATGACATTGACCTGTCTAGCAACAATATTATTACATTGATATTCTTAAATAATATAAATATAACATACTAAAAAAATCACTAAAATCGGACAACAGGTTTAGGAAATTCGAGACATCTAACATGTCCCGTTTTTAAGGTGTTCCGTTAATTTTGCCGGTGAGTGTATTGAATAAACGATTTTTGAATGATCACTTTTCCGAGAAACTGATGTTTCAGTGAAACATGCCAAGCGAATATATTCTGTAGAATTAAAATATTATATTTTATGCTATTGAAATGCAAAATATTATGTTTTTCCACTTTTCTCCTGCAGCACATAGCGCGTATAAGGATAGTTTAACGAATGCTTTATTACTACAAATACTCGAATATTTATATTTACCTAAATTTGGTATCCAATCCTTTGTCTCTAAATAATTTCTCAGCTGGTTTCACCATTGCAGTTAAGTTAGATCTCATGTTCTCTACAGTCGTTTTCGCTTCTCTTAATCTCTGGGTAAAAGGATTGGCCCTTGCTCTTTCACAATTGGTATAATATCTTAGAATCTCTTTCGACAATTCGGTGCTGGCCTGATCTTCGATAAATTTATCAGGTGCCATGCACAAATCGCTCAAAGCTACACTGGAAGCTAAAAATAATATTGTAATCAATTAAATATGATATTTTAATTTTCACCGTAATTGTGAATAATAGAACTTAATGTGTTGTGTCAATAAAACAACGAGTTATGGAATTAATTTATGAACATGTAATTGAAGGCTTGGTAAGAAATTTTACTGTTACTTAAGAAAATAATAAAAAAGAGAATAAAAGAAGCTAAGGAGAGAATGTTACATGAGCAGTGCCAAGAACTAGAAGAAATTGAGAAAAAATATGACTTTTTTAACATGCATAAAAGAATTAGAGAATTAACAGGAATGAGAAAACCACTTCAAACTAGGCAACTAAGAGATGAAAGGGGTGCACTTATAACAGATATAAACCAAAAAATGCAGAGATGGACACAATATATAGCACAACTATTTGAAGACAAAGAGAGAACACAAGCACCAAAAGAATTTAAGGATGATACTGGGCCTGACATTATACGAGAAGAAATTGAATATGCAATGAAACAAGCTAAAGATGGTAAATCTCCCGGGCCTGATGAAGTTCCTATCGAATTACTTAAAATTGTGAATACTGAATCTATTGATCTTCTTCTGGATCTATTCAATACCATATATAGAACAGGTATAATACCTAAAGAATGGCTCCAATCAACATTCATACTGCTTCCCAAAAAAGCCAATGCAAAGGAGTGCAATGAACATCGCACCATAGCCTTAATGAGTCATGTCTTAAAATTGTTTTTAAAAGTAATTCACAATAGAATACATAAGAAATTAGATGAAGGCATAAGTAATACACAAATGGGATTTAGGAAAGGACTGGGAACACGAGATGCACTGTTTGCAGTAAGTGTTCTTTCGCAGAGATGCTTAGATATTAATCAGGAAGTATATGCCTGTTTCATTGATTTTGAGAAGGCATTTGACAGAGTGCAGCATAATCGACTTAAAGAAATTTTATTAAATAAAAACATAGACAGTAGAGACATTAGAATCATCTGTAACCTCTATTGGAATCAAACAGCAAAAGTGAAAGTTGAAAACGAACTGACCAAGGATATCCAGATTTGCCGTGGGGTCCGCCAAGGGTGTATTTTATCACCCTTGTTATTCAATTTATACAGTGAAGCCATCTCAGAATTAGCGCTTGCCGAGATCAGTGAGGGCCTTATAATAAACGGTGAGCCACTTAATAACATAAGATATGCTGACGACACCGTCCTTTTGGCAGGAACACTAGAAGAACTGCAACACCTTGCTGAACAACTAAATATATATTGCAACGATTATGGACTAAAAATCAATTTGAAGAAAACCAAGTTCATGGTATTTACAAAAGCACAAAACATCAAAGTTAAGCTAGTACTAGATAATACAGAAATTGAACAAATATCTTCGTACAAATACCTTGGAGCATGGATCACAGAAGATACTGATCAGACAAAAGAAATAAGATGCCGCATTGAAATTGCGCGGTCAACTTTTAATAGAATGAGAAAACTTTTTTGTAATCGCGATATCAATATATCGCTCCGGATAAGAATGCTTCGATGTTATATTTTCTCTACCCTCTTGTATGGAGTTGAAGCTTGGACACTTAAAAAATCCAACATTAAAAACCTAGAAGCATTCGAAATGTGGTGTTACCGACGCATTTTAAAAATATCATGGATGGATCGCAAAACAAACGAACAAGTTCTCGAACAACTAGGAAAACAATGCGAAGTTTTAAATTCCATAAAGATCAGGAAATTGGAATACTTGGGGCACATCATGAGAGGTGAAAAGTACGAACTACTAAGGAACATAATGCAGGGTAAAATCAAAGGTAAAAGAAGCGTAGGAAGACGTAAAATCTCGTGGCTACGCAATCTCCGTGAGTGGTTTGGATGCAGTTCAATTGAACTATTCAGGCGAGTAACCAATAAAATTATAATTGCCAGAATGATTTCCAATCTCCGATAGGAGTGGAACTTGAAGAAGAAGAAGAAAATTGGACCCCATTTTCTGCGAAGGCAACTCTAGATATTAGTAGAACGACAACACCGCTACTGGACCAATGTACAGTAGGGGGTTGCCGAAACGGTGTGTCAACATTAAGACAACGACATGAGCGCCAAGTCAACTTTAGGTCAGTGTGAAATTAGCGTCAAATTAACGGTGTCAGCGGCAAGTGTATTTGAATCAGCGTGAAGTAGACTTAACGCTGATGCCATTGGGTTTATGTTGACACAGCGTTCACATGTCATTGACATACTTCAACTATAACGCTATAAACCTAAAATATCAGGGTGTACTGTGGATACGGATGGCATCTGGAAAAGTTATGTAGAGGAAATATTTAAAGATGAAAATTTTTATTAAAAAATTTACTTTCTAAAAGGTATATTAATAAAAAACCCTATCGGACTATATCACAGAACGTTTTTGGAATAATTATTCCACCATCAGTGCTATCTTAAAATAAGTATAACCACTTTAATTGTAATTTACACAGAACGTGAACGTTAAAATTTTGAACAAGGTTATTACAAAAGTGTGGTTAATACTTATTGGATGTACATGTTTAAAGAAATTAAATATGTGGGTAAAAACGCTTTAAGTGTAGTTTGATTAACTTTCAATTACATCTTTGATATTTAAAAACTATGACGTTTAAGTTATAAAGAAAGTGTCTGGGAGGACTTGTTGATAGTAATTGATTAAAATTACTATCATATTATTACATATTAGGACTGAAGTCTGAACAAAGCAGTCAATGTAACCTCAGGTATATGTATACATGTGACGGTAGCCAGCAATATGTGTAATTAAATATGTTTGATTATAACAGTAGCAACCATCAGTATGTTGGAATTTAGAGTATGATTTACCCTGAAAGTTTGTTGGAAAAATTATAAATTAGGTATTATTGCAGGTGGATTGAAGGTTACTTCAATACTACCTAATTCTGAGCTTAATTTGCTCTTTTTATTTTTACAGCTCGGATTTCAAATAGGACTCCTCTACAAAAATGGCTCTATTCACCTAGTCATTCCTTGATTGCAGCTTTATTCCAGGAATTTTTAGGGAATCTCTATTTATGGGTGTGACACGATGCATTGTCCATTACAACACCTGCGACCATAATTTGGTAAATTTGGTATATCCGTCTCTTTAAATCACGACTCATCGTGATAGTCTCCATCATTTTTCTTTGCCATTAAAACACGCTGTGTGCCGGAAAGCGAACCTCCTGAAAAACCTGCAAGCAATAAATATCGTGGACTTCGGTCCGTAGGTGCTTTTAAACCAGTTCTTAAATATTTGAGGAAAGCATCGCGACTGATTTGTATAGGTGGTATCGCACCATACTTAATTAACAGATTGACCATCATTAATCCACGATTCGTTCAAGTATATGATATTGCAATCGTCTCTTCGCAAACGTCGTATAGTTCTCAAATAATTATGGCGCCAATAAATAAAATCCTCTAGCTCTGCCATAATGCTTCTTCGACCATGTTTCTTATTTGATTTCTTTCAGAAGCCTGTATTAAAGTAAAAAGAGACAACCGCGGTGTATTCTCATTACCCTGTATAAAGTCATAAATGCGCTTTAAATATGGCGGTAAATTTTACATAAAAAATTTACAATGAACAACTCTCCGTAGAGAACTTCTTATAAACCTCGTCATATGTGAAGGTCTACAACCATATACGTTTATTCTCCGTAAGAAAAGCATTGTCGTATCTTAACCCCATTGCACTGTCAGTGTGAATTTCACTATAGAGATCTGAATTTCAAAAATCTAGAATGATTTAATTATGTCCCATGTCTATCATGGTAAAATTGATACATGACTGCGTGATATTTTTGTTAGAAGAAAAATTTTAATCAAAATTAAATTTACAAATTCAATTTAAGTTGATAACACGATTTATTTCAATAAAGTGATATACCCATTTATATATCACTATTAACCACTCTTAACATTTTCTAATGCCCGAAAAATATCGTTTTCGATGCAAACTTATTTTACAAAAAAAAAAAATAATTAATTGTGGTTTTCTAATAATAAATTATAGCACAAAAATATTATGTACTTACCTAAATAAATACTGGCCATAATATAGGACGCTATGACGGCGAGCAGTCCACACACCGAAAACGCTATAAGAGCGCAGCGGTTGTGCCTTGCTACGCCAACTAATAAAATCACACATAAAATGAGTAAAACACTCAGAATTCCCATCGTGAAAGGCCATCGTACTGCCTCGATTTTTTCACCAATTATTATTGTCGATGTAAGGTTGACTCCCACTAAAGGTTGACGTATATCGCTTGCGGCATTTGCAGTAGCGTTGCGATTACCTGTGAAATATAATAAATGTATAATTCAACTTTGATGGTATACAAGGCAAATATCGAACACAGTAATTTGGGCAATAAATCTTGCCCAAGTACTTTCGATCAATAGATCATCCTCAGGGGCATTTCGTCAGTTGTGGCCTATCCGACATGAGCAGAATGTCATACATGTAAATTTGGACATAACAATACAATACACAAAGACAAACAAACACTTTAAAATTTTTTAAAATGGAGAAGCTACATGTTATATAGAAGCCGGAGACAGAATGGCTCCAGGTCTGGCGATTAAATGTATAATTTCCCTTCAGTGCATAGAAAAATAAAAATAATGGGTTACTAATGACAATTTTACTTTTTCTTAACTGGCTGATAGTCGCGTGAGTGACAGCCACGCTTATATTTACGCTCATTGTACTCAACTGGCACGGTTGGGCCTTGCGCATGTACCTTCATATTGTTGCTGGATAAATGTTATTGGTTGACGCTCGTGAGCTGTGCTCCTAACTACTTTTTGAAATATTTATTACATATTTTTTATTCAAGGCTTTGTTGTACAATATTTTTATTTCGCTAAATCATAAAATGTCTGAGCAGAAAGAAAGAAAAATATAGCCTAGCAAGAATCCAAATAAGTTGATGGAATGGTATAACGTTCTCAGTAGCAATGAAAGTGATAATGATTTACGAGATGAGAATAGCGACCACGACGAGGAAGATCATATTGAAGAAAATTTGAGTGAGTTAAATTTTGCAGTCTGAAGTTGAGAGTGAGCATTTAGATAAACTTTGTTTTGTCGCTAAAGACTGTATAACAAGACAGAGAAAACATCTGTTGAAACCATCCAATATTAGATCCAGAGCATGCGATATCGTGATGCATCTACCTGGACCAAAAGACAGGCTCGTGAAACAAGCAATGAACTAGATACTTTTTGAAGATGTTATTTTTGGGATTATAACCACGTATACGAATATTTTTTTTTAGATAAAGTGATGAAAATTTTTCTCGTGAGAGATTCAAGACATACGGACACTTTTGAAATAAAAGCTTTTATTGGATTGCTTCTTCTAATAGGTTCGTTGCGGTATTCTAGAAAAAATCTCAGAGACTCGTGGGATAATTCAACCAGAATGGCCTAGAATCCTGTTATTTATCTATGAGCGAGAAGCGATTTAGATTTTTATTGCAAAGTATTGGGTTCGATAATATAGATGATGAAATCGGAAGAGAAAAATTGATAAATTAGCTCCCATTAGAGAAGTTATGACTGTATTTAACAACAACTGTCAAGATTATTACACTGCTGGCGACTATATATTATAACAGAACAATTACTGGCAGGTGTTCATTTCGCCAGTACATTCCTAGCAAACCTGCTAAGTATGGTATGAAAATTTTTGTATGGTAGTTGTAGCCATACAGCCTATACAGTCAATCAGGAAGCATACGTTAAAACACAGTCTGATGTACCTTACCGAGTAAGCAATTCGGTAGAAGACATTTTTTTAAGCTTGATAGAACCGATAAAAAATACAAACAGGAACATTACCGGTGATAATTAGTTCACTAGCCTCCCTTTATTCAAGGGAGGCTAGACAATTCACAAAAAACACAATAGGATTGTAAGTACACCTCCTCATAACAAAGACGGGAACCTGGCGACGACAGTTAAGGAGAAGTTGGTGACCTGGAAAATGTACATCGAATAACTTTTCTGGGACTACCGAGGTAACCTTCCACAAATAAATTGCATGCCAGGACCGTCAATACTAGAAAGCGAGGTGAAAGCAGCTTTATAACAGTCTAAGAATATTAAGGCCACAGGTCAAGACGAAAAAATACCCGTTGAACTAAGGTGATGAGTGAAGTGAGCACAAAGGAGTTAACTGAACTGTTTAACGCCATATACGATTCAGGTAATATCCCAGAGGAATGGCTATTGTCAACATTTGTAACACTACCAAAAAAAAAAGATCTGCGAAAACGTGCGAAGATTTCCGAACTATCAGCCTTATGAATCATACACTTAAGATTTTTCTTAAAATCATACATGCCAGTATTTACAAGAAATCAGAAGAAAATGTCGGTGAAATGCAATTTGGATTCCGCAATTCCATGGGTATATGTGAAGCACTTTTCACCTTACAAGTCCTACTTTAGAGATGCCGCGATGTCAGTTGTGATGTCTATATTTGTTTTATTGATTACGCCAAAGCATTTGACCATTGTCAGCACCAGAAGATATTCGACGTCCTACAAAGAGTAGGATTGGATGCGAAGGACATTCGGATCATCATGAATTTATACTGGAACCTGCGTGCTCAAGTCAAGGTCGAAGACCAGCTGACCGACCAAGTGAAGATTATGCAAGGAGTAAGGCAAGGCTGTGTGCTCTCGCCGACTCTTTTCAATATATACTCTAAAGAAATTTTTACTGAAGCCCTCACAAACCTAGATATGGGAATCCGAATGAACGGTGAATACATCAATAATATCCATCCGCTACGTCAATGACACTGTATTACTAGCAACCAGCCTAAATGATCTACAAACCTTACTAGACCGAGTGAGAACTGAGCGTAACATACGGACTAGACCTTAATATTAAGAAAACTAAATTCATGGTTTTCAGCCGTGCAAATTTAGGTCCCGGGGCACTAATGGCAGGTAGCGAAGAGATCCAGAGAGTCGATAGATTCACTTACCTCGGAACTACCTTCAACTCACAATGGGACTACGCTCAAGAGATTAGAAAGAGATTGAAATATCACAGTCTACATTTATCAAGTTGATATCCTTGCTGTGCTGCGGTGATCTCAGTTTGAGAATAAAGATGCGGATAGTGAAGTGCTACATATTTACAGTGTTACTAGATGGAGTTGAAGCATGGACACTGACGCAAGCCACAGAAAAGCGGATTGAAGCCTTCCAGATGTGGATCTACAGAAGGATACTAAAAATATCGTATGTGGACTATGTCACCAACGTTGAGGTCCTACAGCGCATAAGAAAAGAAAAAGAAGTGCTCAATTTAGTAAAACAACGTAAGCTGGAGTACCTCGGGCACGTGATGCGGAACGAAGAAAAATATCGAATTCTTCAACTCGTTATACATTCTTCAACTTGTTATGCAGGGTAAAGTATTTGGCAGGAGTGGACCAGGACGCCGTATCTCGTGGTTAAAAAACCTCCGACAATGGTTTGGGATGACCTCCGCGGAGCTGTTTCGCAGTCAATAAAACCATGATAGCCTTGATGATTGCCAACATCCTGACCGGATAAGGCATTGAAGAAGAATATTGTGAGTATTGACTCAATATGCACGTGAAAAAGATAGCAAAAAGACAGGTGAAACTGAGATAAAAGCTCTAATTAACTTACTAATTTTGTCCGGTTTATGCAAGTCTAGTCTATGAGCTATAGCAGGTTTTCTTTCCTACTAAAATGTTTGCGGTTTGATGATTTGAACACCCGTGAGACGATAAAATTAACTGACAGATTTGCATCTATTAGAAACATTAGTATACAGTTCAACAATCATTGCCTTGTCACTTGCCTTTTAGACACTTTTGGTATCAATGGTTTCGTCATTTATAATTGCAATATAACCCCTTCACAACGAAATACGAGAAGATCAGAGTATTTGGAATCTGTGAGCTTGAGTAAAGAGCAAATTGAAAAAAGATCCACTCAACTATCATTACCTAAACCACTCAAAAGGATGCTGAATGTTCCAGGGCCTAGTTCTGAAGGAAGATAAAACAATGAGTCACTGTAATTTTCGCAAACAAACTATGTGCCAGGAACACATGAAGTTTATTTGAAGTTTTATTTATTTTAATTAGTTAGAAAGTTCTTTATTTTATGATTTTAAGGGTTAAATTTTTAAAATATTTCAGTTTCTTGTAGAATGGTAAATTTTTTTCTTTAAAAGTAATGTCTTTGTAACGTTTAATAGTTCCTAATTAAATTTTACTTTTTAATTGTTTGTTTTTTATTTAATTAGTTAATACAACATAATTTTTTTTAATTACACTCAAAGCTACCATTTTTTTCAAAGAAACGCGCTTGTGACCAAGGGTTAAATAAGTGCGAGCTTAGTTAACTATACGGCTCTTCAATAAAATATGTTGTACCAATGTTGTACCAGAAGAAATGTTAAAAGAAGTAAAAAAATTTTGGTAGTAGAAGTAGTAAGATTCATTCGTGAAATTAAGTTTTTTTTTCTAGCATAAAGATAAGGTTAGGTTAGGAAAATAATACTTACTGACAAGTTTCTTAAAATATCCTTCTATTTCGTTAAATAAAGGTTTATCACTGTGATGTGTTCCGAACACGTTGGCAATTTCTTTTATTTGTCTTTCTGCTTGTATCCTCAACTGTCGCTCGATGTCTTCTGTTTGGTTGCGTATTTTGGATATTAAAATGTCTACTTGCCTGAAAATAAAATAAAAAATTATTTACGACGCATCAACAAATAAACCAGTATCACATAAGGTATAATATCATGTTCAGATAATATATACCTAATCAAATAAATAACGACACTTGATTATATATACACTCACAAACAAAAATATTGTATATATTATTTTGAGTCTGTTTTTGAAGTATATTTTTTTTTATTTTGTAAAGTTTTGTAATATTAATGCTAAATAAGTTGTGATGGACTATTCTGCGTATATTCATTAACAGGTAACTTGCATACTGAAGAGCTACAACAAATTTTTAGAGAAACTAATGAAATAGTCTAATTTTGCTTATAACATCTAATTAAAAAGAGAAACAATAACGACAATAGAACACTTTTTTACGGCAAAATTGTAATAATTTAATACTTAATATTTTATCCTATAGCTCTAGAGATAGCCTGTATCCTAGACATGCTTCGCGGAAAATCTTGGATGGTTTCTTGCGGAAGTTGATTCCAGTCTTCGTGTGCAGCAATTCTTAATTCTGCAATTGAGTTCGGAGCTGGATTTCTTGCTCGTATATTTTAGGATATCCCATACATGTTCTATGGGATTTGCATAAGAGCTCATAACTGCCACTCTATAGCCTCAATTACAACATCCTTAAGATATTGTATGACTGTTCCTGGGGCATGTGCACGGGCATTATCATGCAGTAGCACAAATTTATCATACCCAATGAAGCCAGCATAAGAAAAAAACATACTCTTCGGTGATATTGCGCATGTATCAGTCAGCATTAATTCGAAGATTACATTCTGCGAAAGGTTCCCCAGACCTTCTGTATACTCGACCACGTCCCCCTGACTTCCATAATTGTATCGTTTTATCTTAGTGTCTTATAAATTACTTCAATAACATTTTGCTCTCTGAAAAAGTTCACAATATCCAGTTTTGCTGGAGTCTGTACGACGAATCTATTGTTGAAACCTCATCCTCTATGTTTTCTCCTTTTTAGTTTGCAAGTTCTAATACAGAGAGCCAGGGATGTCAACTGCGTTGTATATGCATGTTTCATTGGTTTCGAGAAGGCATTTGATAAAGTCCCACATGAGAAACTAATTGATATCCTAAAAACATCAGCACTCGATGGTAAGGATATAAGACTGATCTCAAACTTATATATCCAACAAAAAGCAACAGTACGATTAGAAAATGAACTGTCCGAGATCTTCACAGTCGAAAGAGGAGTTAGACAGGGTTGCATATTGTCACCGGCATTATTTAACATATACTCTGAAAACATCTTTAGATAGGCCTTGGACGAATCAGAAGATGATATTGCGTAAATGACCAACTTATAAACAATATTAGATATGCAGACGATACAGTGTTGCTGACAGATAGTGTGCAGGGGCTACGAAATAAAACCTCGCATTGAAAAAGCCAGAAGCTTTTTCAACGGCCTTTGGAAGATTCTCTGGAGTAGAAAGTAGAAAGCTGGAGCCTTATAGAAGATGCCATAAAACGATTAGAGGCATTTGAAATGTGGTGCTACCGACGTATGTTGAGGGTCTCATATATACACCACACAAGTAATATAAGAAAAGACGAAGAAATTATTAACACTATAAAAAACAGAAAATTGGCTTACTTCGGCCACATCATGTGTAATGATAAATACTGACTTCTACAGTTGATTCTACAAGGTAAGATTTAGGGTAAGAGAGGCCCTGGACGTAGACGTATATCCTGGCTGGCCAATCTTAGGAAGTGGATTGGTCTAATGTCAACTGATCCATTTCGAGCTACTGTGAATAGAATAAGATGGGTCAATGTGGCTCCAACATCTCTATAAGATAGGCAAATTTAGAAGAAGTAACTGTCAGCATTCCACGCTGCGATATACTTTCTACGTAATACTAAGTTTGATCTTTGTTAAAACAACTTAATGTTTATTAAGATAATCATCTACCTTTTCGATTTCGTAACTTATTTGACGGTAATTCGCAAAGACGTCAAAATCGAGTAACTTCAATGCAAACTTTAACTCAAAAGATACATCCCAAATTTAAGAATTACTGCATAACGAATATATCAAGATTAAAAATACCTTAAATATGTAGTAAAGTTTATTTTCTCTGAAGTTTTCGAATATTGCCAGTATACTTCCTGGCTAAAATAATAATTGAATCAGAAACATGCTTTTACTCTCGTACTTTAAATGCTCTTCAGAGTTTCTACAACAATGCGCTTCTTTCCAACAAACAATGCTTTGTATGTGAAATGCACTTACCTTCCTTCACTCAAAGTCCGAACGACGCCATTGTGTAAATCATCATTACCATATAGTCCTATGCCTATGCCGGCACAACAGAGAACCGAGACAACGGCTAAAGTGAGTTTAAGAGCCGCTATCGACTTTGAAGCCCTCGGTTTCCGATCACAACATCTCGTCAACAGGTAAATAAGTAGGACAAACAGCGTTAATATCAACCATATTGCTGGGATAGAGCCAAGAATTCCCAAACTCTGGAAAATAAATAAAAAATGTTCAAATCAAGTTCAAACCAATCAAATGTATTGCCAGCATTAAAACTGTATACTTCCATGAAAGCAGGCACTACACTTTATTTTGTATTGGGAGAGCGCTATGAATAAGCTCCAGTTGTGTATTCAAAACACTTAAAAGTGGACAATATACTTAAAAAGTTACTTTGTTGTGCTTGACCTATTGCTTAAAAGACTGTTTTAAGTTCCCAAGTTGTTATGGACTCAGAGATATAAACTTCAGATATACCACCGTGCAGCTTGGTTGCCTGAGACAATAATTTTTTTGGTTAAATTTGAAAATATATTGCAATGTTTTTTTTTATTAAATTAATCATATCTATTATGTACTTTAGAAAGGAACTACGACGAACCTACGAAAGGGGTTTTATTGTTTCATATGGCCAATTGACTCCCAAATATGAAAAAACCGCTGAGTGTTTAAACCGCATTTAAAATTATGTGTTTTGAGAACGGAGAGTAATTGTCCCTATTAGATAGAGTGCATTTGGGTGAATTCTATGCAGTTTTCGTACATATAAGTCTACAGAAAAGTTAAATTTCCTATCGAAATATCACCTTTAAAAGTTAACAATATTTCTTTTGGCAAAAATATGTTCAAAAAACGAAGCAAAAAAAACAGGAACACACGCGATTTTTTTTTGTCCCATAACTTTATTCCAGGAGTATAGGTGTAGGCATTGCATTACAGGAAAACAAACAGTTATCCCAAAATTACTTTCTACACAGTTTTAGCTATATGCAAGGGTCAATTAAATAAAAATAATTACCTTAGAAATTGTCTACTGGAGAAGACTCTAGGACTAATTTTAAGCAAGATACGGTTCTTTAAAAGTTTTCTTTAAAAGCCATTTTAACTTTTAACTCTGATCAAAAGCTATCGAATTTCTACCGTTGGGTTGAGACAAATATTATTTAAAAAACTGATTTCGCACGCGTGTTTCTGAGAGAACTGTTCATTCTACAGAAAAAGTGCTAATACACATTTTTGTTCAACGTTATCTCAGCTACATTTCTTGTTTGAAACATTTTTTTCTACTGCGTACAGATTCTTGGTAAATCGATTCTCCCCCTACGAGGGGCTGTTTTAATGGGAAGTCCGGGGGTAGGAGTGGCAAACTTTTTGCATCTTTTTTGGGGTCTCAAAATTGACATGCACCCTAGTGCTTAGGGACAAATTCACCCCTTTCTCAAAAACGCACCACTTTATATGGTAGCACTCCGCGGCTTTTCATATTTGGGGGTCCAATAACCATGAAACAATAAAATCCCTTTAACGTTTTATCTCAAATACCTCCATTTTTTTTTAACAAGCACCAACATCAAGTGAACATTAAACGCAAGCCCTTGACGTACTACTCCACCATAGGCCGATCAGACACCAGCTGCAAGGTTTTTTAAAAACTGCTCCACTACCACCACTATTGTTTCGTTCTTGTTTAAAGTAATCTATTGACGAAGAAACAAGCTCTTTGCAAAGACTGTTGAGTTGTTTTCGCTTTTTTCAAGCACAAAACACACACATATATACTTCATCTAATTTAGATAACGACTTACGTCATTATCTACGTCAGAGATCGAAGTTGACATAGTTGCCAAAGTATAAAAAAATCCTGACTCCATTTTAAATCAAATAGGTCACATAATTATTGCAAAAATATTACCATCTCTTTACAACGACTATTTAAATTCTTACGTGACATTTTTGAAATAAAACACACTAATTTTGTTCTAAAAAGAACATATTTTATTAAATAGGTAAAAATATAAAACAAGAGGTGTTCACTTTAAAATCCAAAATAATAAAGTACAAAAAGTGTCAACACCGCAACTGTCAAATAAGTGTTACCAATTTATGCCAAAATTTTACCTTCGTTCGATTACAGTTACAGTGTGTTCCGAACAAATGTTCTTGATAAAAACTCTTTATAATGGATTTATACAAATTAAATTAAACATATTATTGTGTATTTCTTTAAGTTAACATTAATAGAAATTTTTAAATATTATTTCTACGCGTATATAATAAAATATGCCTAGTGGCTGTAATGCCAGTGTACTCGGTAAAGTGATTCTAAAAAGAACACACCTAAACCCTAAATATTTCGTGTTGGATCATATGACGTCACAGGCTATGACGCCGATGACGTGCATCGTTATATAAATTAGATGAAGTGTATATATATATATATATATATATATATATATATATAAATATTATATATATATATATATAATATATATATATATATATATATATATATATATATATATATATATATATATATATATCCCTCATTCTCTGACAACCTCATGACATCTGACATCACTCAAATGTCATTGAAGTGTGAAGTATTCATGTATCAGTGGCGTACGATTCTCTAATCTGTTTAATTAAAATGATTATTTTTGAAGTATCAAACATAAAAATTATTATTAATAGAAATGTTTTTGGGAATTTAATTAATATAAGCATAGACACAATATGCGCTATTTTATTTGTACTTTTAGTTGAAGAATAGATTCAATAATTTCAACTTTACTAAATCATTAATCTCTAAAAATTTAAATTACGTTATATGGCGATCGTGTGCTTGACACACTTCAAAGGTGGTATCTGAGAGTCTGATTGTTATTTATTCTGTGGTATGAGTGTCGTATTTAAAAGTGACCATAATTTATATAAACCATGATTTAACCTTAAAGTTGTAATCAAAAAGCTTATATGTAAAAGTTATGTATGACGTACTACCTATATGTCATAAAAAAACGACAACCAAATACATCACCCTTTATTAATATTCAGTAAATTTTCTTTGAAATGAAAATTTCTTGATTTTGATTACTTAATACTTGACAGTCTTTCAACAGTTGTCGTTGTAGTCTATCATCTTACTATCATTATACAGGGTGTCCCCGAAAATATTACGTTCGTTAAAGCCAAAAGGTACCTAGAAAAAAAAAGTCATAAATTTTTTTTTAATTCAATCGTTTGACCAAAAAACGAAAATACATTTTCTTATGCAAAAAGCAATCTGTCAACTACAAGCAGTACTAAAATTTAAACGGAAGCAGTTACAAATTTAGTCAACAGATATTTTGGAACAATCGTGGTTAGCATTTATTGTAAATATTTGACAATTCTTAGTCGCATTAATTACTTTTTAGGAATTAAACTATAGTACTTACTTAAGTAAAAATAATAATTTATTTAAAACTTCGAGTTTTAATAAAAAACCTTAATTAATTTAGATAATAGCACATGTCACATTATTAAAGTAAGAAATAATTATTTTGCCGGTATTAGGTACCGGATTTCTCATTATATTATGACCCCCAAGTATTTTTTTAAATTTTGGGAATACAAAAAAAAGTTTTAAATAAAAGTTGTATTATTTTATGTGTAACGACCAAAAATGTAGCAACAGACCAAATTTTGTATACAGGGAGTGCCCAATAAAATGCATCTTCAATATTTCAAATTGGACACCATGTATTTTTTTATAGTTTTGAGTAACCCTGCATTTCCTGATTACCAATATATAACATTGTGTAGCATTAGTTTTGTTCTATAATGGCATATGGTACTACAAAAGGGTAGACTAAACTAGTCTAATCAACGCTACTAATGCATTAGAGAAAAGCCGTGCGACGATACATGGAATTTTAAAAAAGCACAACTATAAGCCGTACAAAATATTACCAATACAAGAACTTACCGATGTTCATAAGAGAAAGCGTTTACAGGTCTGTCAAGACACGCTTACAACTTTGAACAATGATCCTAATTATTTTTATAACATTTTATGGACAGATGAATTATTGAGCCATTGTTTTATGATTATAAATTAACTGGGAAATCATATTTGGACACAGTCATTACAGAAGTGGATGAGTTATTAAATCAAAATTATACACAAAATCAATTAAATAGCATGATATGGCAACAAGATGGAGCACCGCCACATAATGTCGTAGCCGTTCAAGAACATTTAAGTAATCAATTTAATGTGTGGATCGACAATAGGGTACCTTTACATGGCCACCAAATAGTCCCGACTTAACACCAGGTGATAGCTTTTTATGGGGTTTTTTAAAAGAATAAGTGTATTTTGATTCAAATACAAATATTAATACTATCACGGCAAAAGTTCGTGAGGAAATTGAAAATTTAAATGAACACAATAACACAATATCTGACGCATTAGAAAATTTGAGAGGAAGATATTACTTGTGCATTGATAACAATGGAGGGTACTTTGAACATCTATTGTAATCTTAAATGTAGTATTGTAACTTAAATGTAGTATTGAATCTTAAATGTAGTATTGTAAGTCATTAATTTTGTTGACTTTCTAAATATATTTTTTCTAAATATATTTTTTTCTTATCATAGTATAGTATAGTAGTACCATACGCCATTATAGAACAAAACTAATGCTACTATGTTATATATTTGTAATCAGGAAATTCAGGGCTACTCAAAACTATAAAAAAATACAGGGTGTCCCATTTGAAATATTGAAGATGCATTTTATTGGGCACACCCTGTATACAAAATTCGGTCTGTTGCTACACTGTTGGTCGGTACAGATAAAATAATACAACTTTTATTTGAAACTTTTTTTGTATTCCCGAAATTAAGAAAAATAAATTGGGGGTCAAAATATAATGAGAAACCCTGTACATTTCCTAAGATGCCAACAACCTTGAAATAATAGTAAATATATAAATACATAGGTTGGATTATATTAAATAACCTAAGAAAAAACAAGTTCTCATTCCGAAGTGCTTTCACTGCGTACGACGTTGCCAGATTATTTAGTTTTCTGAAAATAAAAATTCACGTATTATGGTCAACAATGTATTTTTTTTGGAAACGGTTAACTTTACGGTAACAAAAAATGTTAAGTATATGAATTTTTTGATCTAAATTATGTACTATATCCATACCTTTAAGA